CTCAATGACAGACTTTATGATACAGCGCGCGCACGCTAACCATTCAGCCATCCAACCCCCCTTCACATAGCGAAGCATCATATTTAATATTCTGGGCTTTTAATTTTTAGAGCCTGAGTGGAGAGCGGAGGGATGGGGGGGGGGGGGGCGCTCTCGGCGAGAAATCTCGCCCCCTCGATGCGTCACAGCTTTGGGTCGCTTACTTTCTCTCGCGCTGGCGCTTACTTTGTCTCTCGGGTGGTGGAAGCGGGGTGATATGTACTGAAGCACGGGTGTAGCTGCGATCGTCACATATTCTTGACGTGTGACGTATTATATCTCAGTGTGATTAAAATTCAAAGTTCAAATTTTAACTTTATTATATACTATTCAAAAAAAGTAGGGGATATTTGATTTTGGGGGCATAATACTAAAATATGCAAATGACTACGAAAAAAGTCACTATAGAACCTAACAGAAGAAACATTTCCAGTTACATGTGACGCCCAAACGCACCAATAGCTACCGCATGGAATGCATGTGATGCTTGGGATCATCATGGGGGTCCAACCCAAGATTTGCACGACTCTGACTTTGAATGTTACAGTCATTGTGGCATTGAATTCCAGGGTGGAAACATCAGTTTAATTGTTTTAGTGACCAGAAAACAAATTTTGATATGCGTCGGCTTACCCAAAATGAAAGGTTACGTGCCCTTGGCATGCTACAGATCGGCACAACACAGGCGGTTGTCGCGCGGACGATGAATGTTTCTCAGTCTGTCATAAGCAGGCTATGGTCCAGATACCGTGATACACAATCTGTACAGGACAGACCACGCTCAGGTCGACCAAGGGCGACAACTCAAGCCCAGGATCGATTTATCCGTACCTTGGCCTTGAGAAATCGTGTCATCACAGCAAATCAGATCAGCGCTCGTCTTCAAACAGACACTGGTGTGAGAGTGAGTGGCCAGACGATTCGGAATCGACTGCATAGGGGTCCTCTTCGCGCCCGACGTCCTCGCGTGATCCCTTGTTTGAGAGATCATCACATTCAGGCAAGACGTCGTTGGTGTAGGGATCGTCAACACTGGGATAATCGACGCTGGAGCAATGTGATGTTTTCAGATGAGTCAAGGTTCACTGTTGATTTTTTGGACAGACGTAGGAGGGTGTGGCGTCGTCGAAACGAGCGCTTCCAAGACGTTAACGTCATCAGACATGATCGATTTGGGGGTGGTTCTGTTATGGTGTGGGGAGGCATCACTGTTGCTGGAAGAACGGCTTTACATGTTGTTGCAGGGCGTGTTACAGGCCAGTACTACCGGGACAACATCTTGGCAGTCCATGTTGTGCCGTTCGCACGACGTCATGGCCGCCGTTTCATCTTCCAGGATGACAACGCAAGATGTCACAGGGCCAGGATCGTTACAGGTTACCTCCAACAACAGAACATCACCACATTACCTTGGCCAGCACTGAGTCCCGACCTCTCCCCCATCGAGCATGTCTGGGACATGCTTGGACAGAGGTTACGTCAACGTCAACAACGTCCTGCCAATGTCCAAGAACTTGCTGCTGCGTTGCAACAGGAAAGGGACAATCTGGACCAAAATGACCTTAGACGTCTCATTAGGAGTATGCCACGTCGGATCAATGCTTGTTTGGCAAACAGAGGAGGATTTACCCGTTACTGACTTGGTTGTGATGCTTTGGTAACTTTGCTGTTTGACCCCGGGTATCATTTTACCCTTATAATGGTCAGTCTGTGCCTTACTTAGTCTAACGATCATTTGGAATAAATCGATGAATGTGAACTTCATTTCATTTTGTCATTTGTTTCTTCGTCAGTTTCATTAGGTGACTTTAATAACACTTAAAAATCAAATATCCCCTACTTTTTTTGAATAGTATATAACCTGCCTTACTTAATTTGAATAAATAGCTTATATCATATGTGTTTAAGTATTTAAAATGTCATCCTGGTCGTCAGTACTAGACACTATATTTGAGTCTTAGGGGTAGGGAACCAAGAAGTTGGCACAAGGCAGCATCGAACCTCTCCACAACATTGGACCACTTTGCTCAACCGTCGGGGTCAAACATCTACACGTCATTGGCCCACCGTCGGGGTCAAACGTTTAACGGTAAATGATCATTTATCTCATCCATAAGAGAAGAAGTTTACCAGTTAGTGATATCTTTACATTTCGTGTCTCCTGACCGCCGTATGAAATACAAGAAGTTTACCAGTTAGTAATATCCTTACATTTCGTGTCTCCTGACCGGCGCATGAAATACAATATTTTTCTAATTAGACTGTGTAGCACCATGGGTCGTCTGTCAGACGTGGAGAGCGGACGCCGGAAAACCGGTCGCCACATCCGGCTTGTAACCCATGCATCTTTTCTTACTACATATTGTGAAACATCCCATGATCGCCTAGTATTGTTTCTGGTCGCATATGTAAATCCTTAACTGGTTTGGCTGTATCTTTAAATACTACACTTTGACATCCCACATTAATGACAGCTTCACGTTGTGGTTAAATATACTGCATCTTAAATGATATCATCAACAGGAATAACAAATACCACATTTAGTTTCTACAGTTTTATATACCGAGCTGCTTACATATGGTACAATGCATATCACATTACAATAAACTCATTCTCTCAAACCCCATCCAGCCAGACTCGGCGGGTCTGCAGATAGAACATTGCTACATCTTCTCCCTACAAGAACTACATGAATGTCTGCCGTAGCGCCCAAATCCAGTTTCTTGTATATGCCGAGATTTCCGCTTCTAATTATTCATTTGGCCAAATATTACGTAATTAATTATAATGATTGGCGAAAAAGTCCATCACGTTTTTAGACCATAGATATACCCCATACCTTGCAGTTGCATACCTTGCATACCAAATTTGGTCAACATACACATTCCATTCCTGGCCATTAAGATAGCATAATATGACAAATGTGTTTATTAACCTATAGTTCAATTCATGTATCAATTCATGTTTGACATAATTTGCTTCCATTTCAAAGTTTGGTGGGGGGGGGGCATTTTTCAAGAGAGAGCTTTTTATTCGCTGGACTATTTAATTATACAATGGATTTCATTTAACCGCGGGTGATTTCAAACACCCTGGCAAGTTGTTGATAACCTTAATTAGTTTGTTCATAATCGAAGGAATCCTTTTGAAATTTATAACGGTTCACACAGAAGATAAGATTGTGATAAATACTATAAATATTATACATTTAGATCAACAATCGACAGGTAATATTTAACAATGAAAAATAAATAGAATTATGAATTCAATTCCTAGGCTGCTGCAGTGGTACCTTTGTAAGAAAATATATTAGTTGCTACAAAGTGACGCTTTGACCGAATTATCAGTCTGATCCAGCCTTGCCAAAACTATAGTTGTATAGTTGTCTCCCCTATCACCTTCTGCATTATCACATAATATATGTTATACGTACACAATATCAACACAACACGTCACAGCCATTGCAAACTAAAAATCAACTAATACAGTGATGTACCTCAACATCTCCCAGCATTACAACACGGACATTGTAAGCTACAATAAAAGTAACATAGTTAGCTTCCATTTTGAAATAGATAAAAATCGTTTTACAAAGACTAATATGCAAATTTAACACCCTGCTAACAAATGTATGATTTCCGCCTGATTTTACTAATCATTAGCAATTAAGACCTTATACGCTCGTTAAAAACCAATCTCTAGCCTTCCAGAGTATCATCCCCAGCTCACGTCAGGTAAAGATAGAAAGAGGGAGGTATAAAAATATACCTGTTCCACTAAGGTTACTGTAATCAGTGTAGACTTACTTTAATATCTATTCTAGTCGTTTCATGTTTATTTTCTGTCTTTTTATTGTGAGTGTATTTTATTTGTAAATCACAGTGTACCACAGTATAATTATTACACCGTATGTTGTCGTCACTGGACGTTTTGATATGGCATAAATATCAACTGGATTCTATTGTATTAGGTATCATGTTACATTTAGGCCTCTTTACTCTACGCCTTTGAATTAGTAGTGCACATGGCAGCGCCTATCTCATATTCTAAAGTGCGTTTGTTATGTATTTTTGTTATAATGTAATTTTTTTAATTGTATGCTGCTTCGGGTCCCCTTAAGGTAATTCTCCCAAGTGGTCTGATCCCTACAAAATCATGCATGATTCAACCCAAAATGACACATAAGGCACCTGGAACGTTTAGAATGCGAAATAATATAGTACTGTGAAAAAAGCTGGTTGATTTGTGTAAATGAGTACATCGTCATCATTATGTGTAGGATAAAGCACGAGATCGAGGTTATACCGGCGGAGAGAGAGAGAGAAATGGGGTTTAACGTCCTCTCGACACAAACTAGGTCATTTCGGGACTAACATATGGTTTAATTTTATTTCAATAATTGGCTTGCGCGTAGGGGTCTTTAGCAGTGGGAGGAAACCGGAGGACCCGGAGAAAACCCACGAGGTTGGACAGGCGACCCTACTCATTGTCACGTTTATACCGGCGGAAGAAAGATTGAACAAAATAACCAAGCAAAAACGGCGGATGGCATGTCGATGTTTTTCTGTCGAGAGTTTTTTTCTGAAGTCTCTCTTCTCCAACATAACCGAAGTCGAAGACTTTATTTTGCTTATAAACCGTCTAAGTTTACGCGTACGTAAAATGAGAATATCCCATAATTCCAGTAAGACAAAGTTTATATCATATTTTCTTATGGACAAAAATACCATCCCTGGAAGAATAACATAGTTTATTATGTTAAATATTACAATATAGTTTATTATGTTAAATATTACAATTATTATATTACACCTTATATAAATGGTTAAATATTACAATTATTATATTACACCTTATATAAATGGTTAAATATCACAATTTATTATATTACACCTTATATAATTGGTTAAATATCACAATTTATTTTATTGAATATAATAATAGTTGCTCTCTGAACAACAGCAATAAGTTTGATTACATGAAAACTCGACACAATAATTCTCCACATTTAGGTACTGAAAAATACAAAACATGGTTTATATTATCACAATCTGATTAAAATACAGATCTATATTTCGTTTCGTTTTTTTTATAATTTCGATGGTCTACACTACATTAAGATCTGACAAGTTATTGCGATAGGTCACGTCAGGGGTCAAAAGACCGACTTTTGACCTATGACGTCAGACATTTGATTAACCAATCAGCATTGATGTTATTAGTGGATTACCCACAGTTCCGGGCAAAAAAGGTCAAACACTCGATTCGACAGGCCATTTGATTGGCTGACCCCTCATTTCAAGTTAAATAACAAGTCTTCCAGATCCAAGTGTAGTAAAAACAAGTAAAACGAAATTTTAAACTATAAAAACGAAACGAAATAGGATCTGTGTGTTAACCAGATTGATATTAACAGTAAACAAGCCGCCATAAGCCTTAATGAAACTCGTTTCTGGTCATAAAATTGACTTACTTTTTTTATATAAGAAAACAAGATTCTTTGGAAAAGCAATATGTTACATTTACATTATAATGTTAATCAGCTAAATTTTAATGGATTGAAACAGGTGTTTGACGATGCCATGGTGGTTCAATTTCAGTGGCCGAATAATCCTCGTATTAACCAAAGACTTTATGCATAAGTTTACTCAAAAAAATAACTTGAAATTTTGTCCAAACGTGATAATTTCTAATACAATCGTGTGTAGAAATCAGTCAATTATTGTTTATTTAATAACTGAGAGCCATTATCCGGGGCAGAGATCGATTGAGAGTTCAAACTATGTGTTTGTTAGCTATATTTATTAAGAAATCAGATGATATCGGTAGGTGATATATACTAATAGAATAGTGAATATTTACCTCCACAGTATTCACCAAGACGTGTGAAATATCCACATTCCTTGTCGTCACAGGGTACTATAAACATAATTAATATATCATTACACACAACAATACCAAAATATCTATTAAAACATGTGTTCAATCCAGATTGAAGGGAGGGGATAACAGCCCCTCAACTAGAATGATTAGGTACTTTCGGGACTAATACTGCACGCTGTATTTCGACCACGCGGTTGTTACAGTTGGGCAAAGCAAATACTACTTGCATGGATAGCAGGTCATATAATCAAAATCTTGTGAGTTAGACCACTCGGCCACCCAACCACTTTTATAAGATCAAATATTGGCCGATAGTCTGATTAGAAAACGGTGTTATTACATAATGTTTATTATTGACCTTACAGTGTCAGTCTCAACAGGTGCTGTATCATAAAGCCTGTCATTGAGTCAACTGGCGTGGTTTCGCTTCCCCGTACGTGACAAGGTGTAGGGTCGCCTGTCCAACGTCAAGGATTTCCTCCGGTTTCCTCCCACTGCTAAACACCGCACGCGCAAGCGAATTATAGAAATAAACTTAAACCTGTGTTAGTCCCGAAATGACCTAGTTTGTATCGAGTGGACGTTAAACCCCATTTCTCTCTGTCTCTGTCTCTCTCAACAAACAGGCTCTGAACAGACTGTCTTTACATGATGATCATACCCTCTAGAGTTGTATGCATCACACAATAATAGAAATGAAATAAATTTACAGATATCTAGAAATGCTATATTTGAAATATATAAATACATCGGGTTTGTATAAATAACCCACTGTCTATAGCATATATAAATGAAACAACTGTCTATAGCATATATAAATGACCCACTGTTTAAATACATCGGGTTTGTATAAATAACCCACTGTCTATAGTATATATAATTGACCCACTGTCTAAAATATAAATCATATTTACCGAGCCAAACACCACCTAAATACGTGCCAGAAGAACCACCGGATTGGCAAAGCACACCAGTTTGTGTAAAACAGTTACCTGTATCTATAATAAATATACTTTATAATATACAACTGTGTTTTCATAAGATAAAAGGTCGACACGATCAAATAGAACAGTATTAATAATAGAAACAGAAGTGTTATGAATAACATATATCTATATTATACTTACACCGACACGCGTCATTTACACATTTATTAGAATCGCTACAGAATTCACCACCCCCACCACACTGATCACCTGAAACAATTGAACTATTAGAGTACTGGACGCTATTACAATACTTGTGGTTTATTTATCTCGCCTAGGCTTAAACATGGATATATAGTTTTCTTTATGTTGTTACATTGATGATAACAGTCCAGTTGTCATAGTGCAGGGCTCTATAAAAGTCGAATGTGCCTGCGCACACACTTGAAAATGTGCCTGCAGGGTCATAATGAAACACAGGGATGTAGCCAGGATTTGGTGAGTGATGTTAAAAATATATTTGGCGAGCGGAGCGAGGCCCAAAAATTTTGGGAGGGGGGCGTGGTCTTTTATAAAAATTTAACCCTTCTTGGTGTATTTTCAGAGCATCTGCTGCCTTTTGTATTTGGTTATTGCAAATCAAATTTCCATTTATATATTCAAATTTTACCAAATTCACTTAATTTTCATCAATGATACAGGGATCTAAAAACTTTTTGACACCACCCGACCGAGCATAAAATTGTCCCGCCCCACTCTGTTTCTCTGGATAGATAAGTTGAGGACCTTTCGGTATTTGTTGTTTTTTTTTGTGGTGTTTTTTTCAAATATTACTTTATTACTTTGAGATTAAAAATTATTAAAACGGTGTTTGTGTTTTATTTGAGTACAACGAATTATGACAACAGGTAGATATTGATAATTAAAACACGTTGTATTATTTGACTTGTTTGTAAAGTTGTTGTACGTGTCTCACGAATATTATTATTATTACGGTGGAATGAGAATCAGGTCAGGCAGAAACTGAGAAAGCTCTCATCGTCCTCCTAGTCCTACTCTCGGGCCGTAGCAAATCCACGGTCAACACAGGTAAGAAATAAAATAAGATCATCGTGAAAATTTGCAGGCACGTGTTGGACAATTACGACATTCAAACCTTTAACATTGGAGTGCCGTAAATTGGTCTGGGTGACCTATTTACGGCACATAAACAAATATAAAGACCGTAGAATAATTGTAAAATGAATAGACCTAGGCCTACACATCTTCTAAGTATAAATAAACAAAATACCAATACATCTTTCTTTAAACTAATTTGGGGTGATAGGGTCTACTACGGCACACAAAAATAAATTATGCCGTGACAGACATGGTTTGCGTACGTCGGCTTTTACCATGGCTTTGCCGTTTAATTGCCGTGGTAAATTTCGAGCGCCGAGTTTGTGCACAGAGAAGGACGAAGGGGTTTAAATACGACTGGGCCTTTTTCGATTTTTTCTTTGTGCTGGGCGGCAAAAAATAGTGCCGGGCGCAGGCGCCGCCCGGCGTGGCTACATCTTTAAAAATGTGCCTGCAAAAAAAAAATTTCAAGCCAATGTGCCTGCGCACGCCGTGCGCATGTGCGCGGAAATATCGATGCCTTTCATAGTGTATATCGTCATTCATTTGATCATATAATTCCTAACATGCCAACATGTACTGGTTAAATGACTGTAGATCAACTAAATATTATATAATTATATAATGTTGTAAGTTAGTACAACAAACAACATACCTATATCTGAACAAGTGTTATATATGTCATCTGTTGGATCACAATTGTTACCTGAAATATAAAATATGTATATAACGGCAGTGTGAAGTTAGCTCGATTTTCGTTTTTCAATATTGGTGAATATCGAAAACCGAGTTACTCGTTTTTCGATATTCAAACTTGAATCTCAAAAATACAGATTTTAATCATGTATATCTACAGAATGTCTTCAAAACACATTTGATTAAATCAGTTTTATAAAATGAACTAAAGATATCATAAATGAGGATGCCCGAGCAGTGGATTCACATAACCAGCGGCTGCCAGGCAGGATACGCCCACATTTTACAGGAGATGGATAGAGAACAAGCTAAAAACAAACGGGATTTTTTGTACACTCAGGGGCAATAATCCAGAAAGTTATGGCCTGAAATGCACAAATATCAAAAGGGACTGAGATCTTTGGGATATAAAGATATGATTTAAGTTTCATCAGAATCGGACAAAAATTGTGACCTCTAGAGGGTTGACAACCTTTGTATTGCATACTTTTACACAATTTGCGAACAAAGAGCGGCCCTTTTTTGGGGGGCAGTTTCATTTCGATTTTCCCGAAATTCGAATTCAACCTTCATTATGGTGAAATGGTGAAATATTTGAACGGTTTTTAAAATCGGAAAAAAAATTGTGATCTCTAGAGAATCCGCAAGCTAAAAATGCCATTTTACGAACAATCAGGGACCATAATCCATAAAGCTAAGTCCATTAAGCCTGAATATCGAAAAACGGGTAGCTCGTTTTTTGACATTCGCCAATATCAAAAAACAAGGAAAAAGTGCAGTGTTTTTGTGAATCCACTGCTCAGGCATCCCCATTTATGGTATCTTTAGTTCGTTTTACAAAACTGATTTAATCAAATGTGTTTTGGAGACATTCTGTAGATATACATCCATCAAATGTGCTTTTTTAAGATTCAAGTTTGAATATCGAAAAAAAAACAAGGAGAAAGAACATTTGTTAAGTGAATGCACTGCTCAGGCATCCCCATTTATGATATTTTTAGTTCGTTTTAGAATACCTATTTAATCAAATATGTTTTGGAGACATTCTGTTGATATACATCCATCAAATCAGCTTTTTTTGAGATTCAAGTTTAAATATCGCCAATATCGAAAAACGAAAATCGAGTTAACTTCACACAGCCATATATAAGAACATATTAATGGTTAGCCTTTTGTGGGTGCTAACTCCAATTCACGGATTGTGTTGAAACATGTGATCAACATATTAAAGATGGGCATGCCCTTTTTTCAGACTGCATCGTGAATTCGTTATGCAATTTATTACATCATAGTTAAAGTATCAACAGTTTGTAAACCTTGTAAAATCAGGAAGTCGTACAGCGCCATAGTTTCTACCAAGATTTCAAGATTTTTATGAAATCTTGACAACGTTGGATAGTTTTGATGATACTTTTCACTAATTTTATTGTATTTGATAACCCTTTGAACCCGAGTTTAAATTCAACTGTTTATAAATAGTTAGCTGTTTGTAAGTACGTTAGCAATTCCTTTCTGAGTTACGGTAATAAAGTTATTTATATACATAAATTAACAGAAAGGTAACATGGTATACTTACTTATGTTTACACACGTACCATCAATACACACTTGGTTGGTTGTAGTACAGGCTTTACCACCACAATTGTTAGCTGAAAAATACAATCAAATTACACGTTAGATGATTGACAAGTTAGATATTTTAGTTCAGGAAAAATTATGTTTTATCCATATACTTATTTACCTATTCAAAAATATTACCTAGCGGCTGCCATGGACGATAAGCCCACATTTTGCAAGAGACGGAGAGAGAACAAGCTAAAAAAAATAAGGCGATTTTTCGTACAATCAGAGGCTATAATCCAGGATGTTACACTGTTAAAATTATATGTATATTTACAGTTATAAACATAGTAAAAATACAGTGTCGGATTTTTCAGATCACATGGTTTGTTAACTTACATTTAAGTACATCGGTTAGTCCCCCCTTTGAACACATATAGAAATTTGTGCAAAATATTTACTATTCAGTCAGTCTATTTTAGAGAAATAGGTTATTGCAAATGTGAATGCACTTAATAATACCATCCGTTTACAGATATGTACATGTACCTTGTATGTATAATAGCTGGCCGTAAAGTTACATTACAGACAGTGAAATACCATGCAAGGTTAAAATACAGTTAAAATGATGGCAACATTTCTCTCAGTTTAATAATGGTAAAACTATATAATAATTTTAATAGTGTACAATCCAACACACGACAATATCAAAAGGAACCGGCAATACTATATACCGGAAAACAACCGGAAAACACTGGAAAACACCGGAAAACTACCGGAAAACACCATGTTATACTGAATACTGGAAAACACCGGAAAACACACTAAATACCGGAAAACAACCTAAATAGGTAACAAAGAACCTGGTCCTCTGTTTGCGGGGAGTTAGGGTTAGGGTTATAGTATAGCCCAAAGGAACCAAGATCTTTGGTATGTAAACACTCATTTTAAGTTTCATCAAAATCGGATAAAAATTGTGATCTCTAGTGGGTCCACAAAATAAAAGCAGAATTTTTCGACAAGAAGCAGGAGGCGTAATCCAGGTGCGTACAAGGAGCGACTAATTTATCTGGCAGTGTCGGTACAATTTTCCCGAAATTCGTACTCATCCGTCATTATTGTTTAAGAGTGATATATTCGAACAGTTTTTTATCGGATGTAAAAACGCGATTTTTCTACCAATCAGGAGCCATAATCCAGGCTGTTACGGTCCGATATGCGCGAATATCGAAATGATCTTTGGGGTATAAACATACATTACAAGTTTCATCAAAATCGGATTTAAAAAATTGTGATCACAAGCTTGGTTCTATCAGGGGCCATAATCCATGAAGATGCGGTCCGATACATGAAGTTATCGTAAAGAATCGAGATCTTTGCGATATCAACCTATATTTTAAGCTTCGTCAAAATAAGATTACTATGGTGACCTGTAGAGTGTCCACAAACAAATGTGAACAGGCAGAAACTCGGAAGGACGAGCGGACGGACGGACGGACCGACGGACAGGGGCGCCTACAATATTCGTCCACATGAACCTGTGGCTGTATAAAAATGATTAAGTGCCATTTGACAAAGCAATCCAAGGAATATGTCTAGTTAATCCACAAATAATATTATGGAATTTAAATTTTATCAGTAAATACCACCTTTTAAATTCCATATAATTGTATCGTGTGGTATACAACATTATAGTTATTTCAGTGTTATTTGGATAATATATAACTGGATTGGTTTAGAAGACTAGGTATCTTACCATCGGTTTTACATCTTTGTATGATACACACACCCCTACACTCTGTCACGTTACATTCTCTCACTGAAGAATAATATTATAATGTTGTTAATATCAATAAACACTTATTATTAGATATGTGATATATCATTGTGCCCTGGATGTTAATCGCAGCATCTGATTATGTGATTCACCACCTGGAACAGTGATCATTCAATAGAGAGACACAACTCACAACACATTGTCCACGTAAACATTTCACATTCAATCTAAAATAGTAAGATTTTGTCCTTCTTGTTCCTAATATATTTATTTGATAGGTTTATTGTTAGGTCCAGATACCAAATCATCTGTCATTGCATCAATTGAAATTTTGTATCTCGAACAGCAACTTCGTGTTATACACGTCTACAACATGACTTAATCAAATTATAGTAAACGTGTAAATATAACCTTTTTTCTCACTCTCTTTAACTGGTGTTGTGTCTTCAGAATCTGAAATAGGAACAAAATCCATGACGACGTGGCATTTTAGTTAAAATGTAAATATGACATTTCCTCACTATTTTCAATTGTGCTTGTACTGAAAATTTTTTTAAATCAGTGAAACGTGGCGAATAGGCCCACACAATCACAGAAACCAACAGATTGAATCAGTCTGATTCGAAAGGAAGGGGTTAGGGGAGGGGGTGGCCATGTCTCGACAAATCACAGAAATCAACAGACTGAATGAGTCTGATTCGAAAGGAAAAATTGAAGATAGGAGACAACCCCGATAATAATAAATTTAATTCAGTTAAAATCAATATTATTGTTCGTATTATACACTGTTTATGAATATCAAGCTATATATTGAATTAAGTCTCAATTAAAGCAGGGTTATTGTGTCCAAAATGTGTGACGGACAGCCGAGCGATCGAATTGTACTAGTACCCAGGCGAAGCAAACAGAAAATGCATCCTAACTGTCCTCTGGGATCATATGTATTAATATTGCTAGAATGTTTGCTTTTGCTCTTGAAATTAATGATGGCAGTATATTTCATTAATTAATATCTTTAGCAGGTTATTAAATTCACATATATGTAGAATTGTACTTAAATCAACTTAGTGAATAAGTGACAGGTTGACACATAAAAAGAGTTACAGAACCAAAACATAGCTGCCTCTATGTGTCAACAACATGTTACCAGATTACACGTGAGTGGAAATATACTAATTGCATCATTTGGCTTAATTTAACCAATCATATCAGAAATTGCACAGGTTCAAGGCCATGAATAGGCTTTTCTGTGCGTGGTGTCCATATGTCCTATAAAGGAAATCATGGTAAACTTTTAAGGCAGACTTTCATTAGATTCCGGAGAGTATACCATCTGAGTTTCTAGACAACAGCTTCATTCCAGAAGGGAAAAGATGTAACAGTTTATATCAGTAGACTCGCCCAGTGTTTAAGAATGACTTTCTTCTATTTTGCATTGTATCCATATGTAAGCAGCTATGATATATAAAATATAAAAACGAACTGTTGCATTGTTATAACTGCTAAGAAAACAAACGTGTTACGAAAACAGTAAGAAGTAAATACACAACGTGAAGCAGAAGCAAAGACAGCTAGAGACAAATTCTAGACGACCACAAGGCTCCTAAGATATGTAGTAAGAACATATGCATGGATCGCACGTAGGATGTGGAGACCAGAGTTGGTTCTCCCGCTCTCCATGGTGCTACATATTTGATTTGGTAGCCGTGACAAGATTCGACCTTCAAGGGAATCTACATATCCTATTTGGTTTCAGTGACCAGAATCGACCTTCATGGGAATCTAGAAGTATACATATTTGGTTTGGTTTCCGTGACCAGAATCGACCTTCAAGGGCATCTAGAAGAATACATATTTGATTTGGTTTCCGTGACCAGAATCGACCTTCAAGGGCATCTAGAAGAATACATATTTGATTTGGTTTCCGTGACCAAAATCAACCTTCAAGGGAATCTAGAAGAATATATATTTGATTTGGTGCACGTGACTACGAGATCGAGTACCCTGGAAGACATTTGGAAGAGGAATACATATTCTATTTGGCGCAGTAACTCAGTTTCGACCTTTAGTGTAAGCAACATCTTTGGAAGAAGAAAATCCTACAAACAAGCAACAAGAAAAATTCTGGTGCGAAAGAAAATAGCAGAAAAAAATCTGGTTGGAAAAAAAAAATCTGGTGGAAGAACATTTTTTTTTTTTTTTGGTGGAAATATTCGAAAAATTGGGTAAATACAAATACATTTTGTCTGGAAAATTGAATTTGTTAATTTGTTTACAGACCAGATAATATTATAAGATATAAAAAGAATAAAATGTTTAAAACGCAACTTTATAGAGAATAAAATATATTCATATTTTGATAAAAGGTTTATAAACAATATGATATCATTTGTTAGGTATGTATATTATCAGGTTAAGATGACCTGTAGTAAGTATAGTTAATTTGAGTAATACAATTTGAAATTAAAGTGGTTATAAGGCGTAGGTTTAAAAAAAAAAAATTTTTTTTCGTATAACTAAGGAATAATGATAAGGAAACGGAATAGGAAATGAAATAAGGAATTAATGTTGTCTCCGGATCAAGGTGGGAATAATTTTTCGTATAACTAAGGAATAATGATAAGGAAACGGAATAGGAAATGAAATAAGGAATTAATGTTTCTCCGGGTCAAGGTGGGAAGATGGCACAGCTAAGGATAGAGATGGCATGTTTCTACTTTGATTCGTTAAAATGTGTGTTTTTGTGTCGTTGGTATATGTGGTTAGCTAATTAAAGCTAATATAGTTTTGAGACTCCAGTCCAAGTTTCAGAATTATGGTTTTAGTCGTGTAAGACTAAATTGGGAAATTTAGCTTTTGAATAAAAGGTTAGATTGCTATTATTTGTGATTTTGTGTCGTACATGTGTTCAGCCAAGTAAAACTATGTAATTTTGAGACCGTTTGTCCAAGTTTCAGAATTATGGTAATTTAACTTTTAAAAAGAAGAGGCAGGATTAAGTATAAAATCCCATGTAATTAAATCTAGGGATCAAGGTAATAGTTTTTCATGAGAAAACTAAAATTAATGGCTCGTTAAATTGGGAGATTATCGCAAAGTCATTAATATGAGTTTAATACGAGGTTAAGGTAAGAATAGGACACTTTTTAAAAAATGTGTTGGATATATATACGGTATATAATTTTATGTATTTCATTTTTGCTTTAGACACGTAGGCCTAATATAAACGTTAAATATATATTTGCTAAATGCTATTTTGTCATTAAATAAATTTTGCTTTGAATTGTTCATGCGAGGTGATTAAGAATGTGTAATTTGACATGTCACATTGTACTATTCAAAAAAAGTAGGGGATATTTGATTTTTAAGTGTTATTAAAGTCACCTAATGAAATTGACGAAGAAACAAATGACAAAATGAAATGAAGTTCACATTCATCGATTTATTCCAAATGATCGTTAGACTAAGTAAGGCACAGACTGACCATTATAAGGGTAAAATGATACCCGGGGTCAAACAGCAAAGTTACCACAGCATCACAACCAAGTCAGTAACGGGTAAATCCTCCTCTGTTTGCCAAACAAGCATTGATCCGACGTGGCATACTCCTAATGAGACGTCTAAGGTCATTTTGGTCCAGATTGTCCCATTCCTGTTGCAACGCAGCAGCAAGTTCTTGGACATTGGCAGGACGTTGTTGACGTTGACGTAACCTCTGTCCAAGCATGTCCCAGACATGCTCGATGGGGGAGAGGTCGGGACTCAGTGCTGGCCAAGGTAATGTGGTGATGTTCTGTTGTTGGAGGTAACCTGTAACGATCCTGGCCCTGTGACATCTTGCGTTGTCATCCTGGAAGATGAAACGGCGGCCATGACGTCGTGCGAACGGCACAACATGGACTGCCAAGATGTTGTCCCGGTAGTACTGGCCTGTAACACGCCCTGCAACAACATGTAAAGTCGTTCTTCCAGCAACAGTGATGCCTCCCCACACCATAACAGAACCACCCCCAAATCGATCATGTCTGATGACGTTAACGTCTTGGAAGCGCTCGTTTCGACGACGCCACACCCTCCTACGTCTGTCCAAAAAATCAACAGTGAACCTTGACTCATCTGAAAACATCACATTGCTCCAGTGTCGATTATCCCAGTGTTGACGATCCCTACACCAACGACGTCTTGCCTGAATGTGATAATCTCTCAAACAAGGGATCACGCGAGGACGTCGGGCGCGAAGGTGACCCCTATGCAGTCGATTCCGAATCGTCTGGCCACTCACTCTCACACCAGTGTCTGTTTGAAGACGAGCGCTGATCTGATTTGCTGTGATGACACGATTTCTCAAGGCCAAGGTACGGATAAATCGATCCTGGGCTTGAGTTGTCGCCCTTGGTCGACCTGAGCGTGGTCTGTCCTGTACAGATTGTGTATCACGGTATCTGGACCATAGCCTGCTTATGACAGACTGAGAAACATTCATCGTCCGCGCCACAACCGCCTGTGTTGTGCCGATCTGTAGCATGCCATGGGCACGTAACCTTTCATTTTGGGTAAGCCGACGCATATCAAAATTTGTTTTCTGGTCACTAAAACAATTAAACTGATGTTTCCACCCTGGAATTCAATGCCACAATGACTGTAACATTCAAAGTCAGAGTCGTGAAAATCTTGGGTTGGACCCCCATGATGATCCCAAGCATCACCTGCATTCCATGCGGTAGCTATTGGTGCGTTTGGGCGTCACATGTAACTGGAAATGTTTCTTCTGTTAGGTTCTATAGTGACTTTTTTCGTAGTCATTTGCATATTTTAGTATTATGCCCCCAAAATCAAATATCCCCTACTTTTTTTGAATAGTATATTATGGTTATTATAAACAATAGTTTTCACACTGTGTTAAATTTGACGTGTGTGAAAGACACGTGATGCGTTAATATTTTAAGTATATAGTTAACATTATGTGTAATTAAAAACTAGGTTTTTTCTGATTGTCGTGTTTATAAAATATAAACTGGTGTTCCGAGGGAGTGGGGTGCACGTCTTCATAAAAATAGAAAATAAATATTTAAAAAATACTCACTTTGGCCGCAGGATTCACACATATGGGCACTATCTACCTCTAAGTCAAAGATCCAGCTTCCAGAGACATTTACAACAGTGGTGAATACCAATGCAATCAACAAAATAACACGCATGATGGTAATACTATATTACTATACTATACTATAGAACAAGAGTACGCGAAACAATTAGACTGTTGAACACGGAGTTTATCGTTTGTTTTATACACAAATACCTGATAACATGTGTTCCATTGTACATTATGTGTTTGGGGTTTGGCACAACATATAATTAATGTGGCGGAAATAAAAGGAATAAAAGATATGTTTCATTTATTCGCATGACCATCATGCTGAATATTATAAACAAGTTGTATACATGTGGTTGATTAACTCTTCAGAAAAAAGAATAAGAAAATAAAATATATTGATTCATTGGCATAGCTGCCATGTTGCATACCATAATCAAATATTTTATACAAATGGGGGGGGGGGAGTTAGCAGGAAACAGAATGAAACAATAAAATTTCAGGGCAAAAATTATACAGAGTTAGTCCAGCCCTATTACCTTCCCAATTTACAATTATAATACGAACTGGACATTTGCGCATCCATGACGTCACAATTCATGGTCGGTTGCTGGCTCATATAGTATATTCCATGTGACAGATCTCGGATTTTGGAGCATCATTACCAATTTGATGAATAAATTCATCGATTATTTTCAGTTAGGCTGGTGCCTGAAGTGTTGAAATTTGGTTGATGGACTTTCGGCTCAGGGAAACCTTCATAACACCTGAACAGATTGACCTATGGATATGGAATATGGCTCACAATGTTCACAAGAAAATTTTACATCTTCTGCTATATCATACTTGTTGTTGAATGAATCATATATTTTCCAAATCAACAGATTATTCTGGAAAAGGCAACGTTTTGGCATTTTTTTTCTCAAGATTCAGAGTAATTGAAGCCCAATTATATATATATGGTCTTCTTTAGTTATTCATTTGGCATAAATAAATACGCTCAGTGGTCCTCTCTCTACTCAACAGAAGTCTTAAATAGACTGTCAAATTTGAAATGTTGAACGTCGGCGAGGCAGGGTAACAACTTAGTGAACGTTTAGCTAGGAGTGTCACAATCGAAATGATATATGGTGACAGGTGGTTTCTGGGGCCAAATTTGTCACTGAAGACAATTCTGAGATTATGTCACTTCTGTGACGTCATTTTCAGTTGGGGTTCTGTTCGATTTCCAACAGGGGCGCTAAAATGCAATGAAAATTGAATTTCTGGTTAGGATGGGTGAGTATCACGCTAGGCGTGGCTTGTGATATATCATATATTATATACTGTAAATAATATTTGTGTATTTTTACTGTACATTGACTGGAAGATAGTTGCCCGTACAATGACTGTATTTTAACATTGGCTTGTAAATTTACACATAAGTGGTAGATTTAGATTTACAAACAGCATGTTACCTCACCAATACAGTGAATTTATAGTATAAAAACATGCAGTGGCATTTTTACAGCGTTATGTTAAAACAAATACGTATATTTCGATGAAATTTTACATATATTTTTAACAGTGCAGACATTATAAATTACCGGCAAAAAGCATCGCAATAAGACTAATTTCCTATTCTTTTAAAAATCTTCGTACGTTAAAAATATTTTATTAGCGACTGGAGACTTACGCATTTTTAAACATTTGCAAGAAAAAGAGGACAGTCGGCATAAATGTATTGAGAATAATAAGAACATTTTCTGAAAAATGAACGACAGCACGTGGCCAAATAAGGACTTTTTAAAATGGGTGTAAAAATGTTTCTTAAATAGTTCCGAAGATAATCCCTAAATATTAGGGCAACAATATCTATAAACACGTTCCTGTTTCGAATTCATCGGGGGTTTATTGTCCATTTCACCATGCCTGAATAATGTTATAATGGACAATTCTAAACAGTAGTGTAAAGTAATGTAGCCTTAAAGGGTCTATCAATGTTAAAGTCCAAAAGAGATGTAGAATTACACGTTTCTTGTAAAATGTATACATGTTTGAAAAGTAGGATTACCCATAAAAAGAGTCAAAGTACAACATACAGTTGTATCAATACAGATTACATGTAATAAAAATACAGTTCTAACTTGTAAGACTACACTTTTATATGTTAATTTACCAATTTTTATTACGGTAATCCCATGTTACCTCACTCATACAGAAAAATTAGAAAAACATGCAGTGGTATTTTTTTACAGCGTTATGTTAAAGAAATTACATATTTTCCACTGTAATTTTATATTTATTTTTACAGCGTTATGTTAAAGAAATTACATATTTTTCACTGTAATTTTATATTTATTTTTAACAATGTAGGGTTTTAGTAGCAATTGAATTTAAAATTGATCTCTAAAAATAAATTATTTATTGGAATTTTCGATAAAACGGATGCTCGTACCACACAGGAATTAGCTTAGAACGGACAAATACAATTTGTAGTACCAGATATTTGATGTTAGTGAACATATTTGTTTTTAGGACACCTGTGTCACACAAAATTTTACTTTCTATCTAGACAGACCTTTAGTATAATAATCTATCTGCATACAAAGTTTATGAAAATACACATTTAAACTGCATTTAATTTGGTCTACCACCTGTAGGACTCTCCCTTCAACTTAAAAAGTAAATTGTTTATTGGAATTTTTGATTAAGTGTAAACTTTCTTGTAGCTGTAAATCTAGAAATATAAGATCACTTTATACATAAATTAGTCCCGTGATGCTTAGGCGTACAGGCTCGATAAATGTTAGTTAGGAGAAAGGGGGGGGGGGGTAGAACCTGAAATGTCCGAACACATTTCGGGTTACAAATCATTAAAAAATCCAACAAATTGTAAAATTTGTTGGCCGCAAACGCGTTTTCGTGCTATACCAGACTGTGAATACAGCAACTTTAAACTGGTCTAATATAGCCTAATTAGTTTGTCTGCTATTCTAGCCTGTAAATTAAGCAACTTCAAAGTTTCCAATCGGTCTGCAACTCTATGCCGACCTGAATTCCAAACATCCAATCAGACTGTTGCCGCTGCCCGAAAAATGACGCACAAAGTAGAGTGGCTCCAGACAAATGTTTTAATCCGCAGTGAATTCAGTACAAATTCGTGGTATTCAATTAAAAGAAAAGTAAAATTAGTGTTTTAATAGATTTCGTGCACTATTTTATTCTGCCAACTAGATGAAATAATAGTTTTCGTTTTCACTTTCCCCTTCTGCCCGGAAAGTCAAATTGCCCGAACGTTAGGATGGAAACTGCCCCCACCCCCACCCCACCACCAAACGCGCCAATGCATAAGCTGAAACATCACGACATGCCATAGAAAACACCATTTACAGCCAGTTTTTCAAAAGAATTTCGCACCGGGAGGCCACGTTCAAAGGTCGTTGGTCCCCGGTCCATCCGTGGTACCATCTAGACCATATAGTAACCACAGGTTCATTTCTGTCAGTTTCTCATTTTACCGTTCGTCATCAGCAATGGACACTGTACAAAAACAACAGGCAAAAATGAACCCGTGGTTACTGTCGGTCCTAATGATAATCCAAGGCCGGAGTGATTCTTGCTGCGTGAGGGGTTCCCACTCTATGAGGGCGGCGGTCCGGTGGTTTTGTAAATTAAAAATGGTTCTTTATAGGGTATATCGTGGTGTTTCTAGCACTTACTTAACGCGCGGCAACATTAGCAATTAATCAAAGACTTGTTAAGTTCATGGCTTAAAGGGACCCTTTCGGGGAAAAGCTAGTATATTAAAAGGTGTTGCAAATTTCTGCATTACTTTAATCATGAGTAGAAATACGCAATATAAAATGATACTTCGTATATTATTTTACAGCTAAATAATACAAAACAAATGTTTCCGTTTTATTCAATAAACAATTTATTGTCATTCATACAGAAAGATATGGTGTTAAAACCTGTTGCAAATTTCCGTATTACACGGTAGGCTTTATCTTATCATATCAATTAACACTTGGTCTTTTGGTCGAGTTTTTACAGCTACTAGAAACGTTTCCGTTTAATTGAAAATTTGAATAGAAAATTTATTGTTAGTTCAAGGGGAAAGTGCCACAGGTGGTAGATAATATTTAAATGTTGTTTAAACCTATTATGTCTTTTAAAAAAAGCCGAGAAAGTTCATCCAGATTTTCCGGCGTGGTTTCCCCCTTGTCAGTGATGCAAGACGGAGGGCCTGACAAGACAGCTGTCTAGTCGTTCGGATATGACGAAAAACCGAGGTCTCGTGTACAAATTGGCGTGCACGTAAAAGATCCCTTGGCAGTTGGAATTCGATATAATAGTAGGCCGCAGCAAATTTCCCTCGAAGCACACTGTATGGCGTATGCCCGTCTTCATTAGCCCAGTTTAGGAGCGAAACAGTAGGACGTTAAACCCCATGTCATTTCATTTCATTTCTTTAAAAAAAAATGGTAGGATACATGTAATCAAAATGGTCGACAGTTCCTTTCGAAGAGAATTAAATATTTTGATAGCTACATTCCGTTTACAGAGGCTTCATATACATGTAAAATATACAAGCATGCCCATTGGATATCATTATTTCAGATTATATTATCACCACTGGTCGAACGTAAAAACAGTTCGCAATTTGTATCATATTACCCTTGCCAAAATGCTCTATAAGTGAACGAGGGGTATAACTGTAAGCATCTCTTACAAATATAAATGATATTTATATCATTCTATCAGGGATTTAGATTCTGATACATTTACGTCACCTGAAAATAACAATAGGCCCATTGTACACGCAACACATAAATTTATAGAAAATTGGCATTCCTTGGATGAGATTTGACGTGTAAATACTAAAATATATTGTGCAGTACGGTGTTCAAATAAACTAGAGTCACTAAAAATAAAATCTGATATTATTAAATCCATTTACACATAATTGCCCATTTTCTTTCAATTGGTCAAAATTGCAATTTGATCTGTGGTGTTTTTCACCACAAGAGTTTCACAACATTTGGACTTAGAAAAAATATTATTTTTTTCAAAAAATTCTTCTCAGACCTCCCTATGTGCCTGTGTTTTTTACCACAAGAGTTCCAC